TGTTACTACTAGATTCTTGTTACTACTAGTAAGGCACCTGTTACTACTAGCAAAAAAATGTGTCCATCGTGATTGTGTTGTTTCTCATACTTCGTGTTCACTTCGCTCCCCTAGTCCTTTCGGTCGCCTGCTGTCTGGAGAGGAAAGGTCCACATGCCGCCATGTGTTCGCGGAATCATTCTGAGCAAAAAATGCCAAGAAATTATTTTGAGGAAAACAACATGCAAATAACATCGAATAACTACCAAATCAATCATGCAGAGCGTCCCAACACAGCGTGTTGGATAGCTTGTTTGGGATTGTGGCTTCCATGCCTCACTACATCCTTCTTTCCAATCATGTCTTCCTGCCTCACGAACATCAAACACTGTTTAATCACCTTGTCGTTGCCCGTCGCTCAATTTTGTCCGCAGCACACCCACATGGCATTGTCAACTGTTGGCACTTCACCCAAAATGCAAATTGACAAGGAAGCGGTGCTCCGGTTCTTCCGGCACTAAGTCTTTGGAACAAAGAGACTTCTCAGATCTCAATCGCAAACTGAGAGTTGTCTCTCCGACTACTCGAATTCGGTCACTCTGCAAGCCATTCGCGTCTCTCCTGCTTGTTTACTTCCAGCTCTTGCTTGAAGTGAGAAGCATTTCTGAATACAAAAAGAGTTCCCTTTTGAAGCGATGAAAGAAAAACTTGTCGGTTTCTTGTCCTTTATCTCAGGCCCGAACAAGTTGAAGTCGAAGTCTTCAACAGCTCCAACGGCTTTTGCAACTCCCTGTAGGATTGAAAACACAGAGAGAGAGAGAGAGAGATCAACAGAGCCCAAGGATCAACTTGTTTCTCGAGATTGTAAGTGCCTGAGGATCTCTGGAAGCATTGGCCTGAAACGACCGGAAAAAAAGCCGGAAAAAAAAAGCTCAGTGTAACAGTTCCCACAAAAAGATCTACAAGTGCCATCTTTGAATCTATCAAATAGTTTCACTCACAAAACAATTAAAAGAAATGACAATAGAATTATCTATTTGAAAGTAGGGACATGGAATGATCTTCTCAGTGACTCGCGTATCTTTTCTCAAAGCCAGGAGCTGTCGTGCAGTGTCCAATTCGTCAAGATCCTTTCGCAAGATGTGTTATGTGTGTCGTAGAAAGGCGGGCGTGTTGGGTGTTTGCTTCCATGTCTTGCTACAACGTCCACAGTCTCTTCGATTTCAACGATTGCCAAGAAGCATCTTCGCCTGCAAAACCAGTCAATGAAAGATCGAATGTTGTTTCTGTTGGAAACAAAAATGAACAAAAATGATATCGTTGCTGCATTTAAACTGGGTGATGCCGTTTATTTGTATGTGTGCATTGGTTTAAGCTGTGTCCTGTGTAAAATGCTTGTTGTTTCCACTACCAGGTGTAATCGTCTTTACACCTTGTCTTGACACTCTTGGGGCCCAAGCACAGCTTCAAGGCTGCATCCACCTGTCAAATTCAATTTGAGGTTGTCACACAGGATATTGACATACATTGATGTACATCCTTGGTTGGAAACTAAAGTAGCTAGTAGTACTAGGGATGGTCTAGTGGCGAAGCTACTAGCTTGGCAGAAGAGCTCAGGCTTGATTGAATTGTTTTTGGGGAGGTGGAGAATTTGACTGTTCGGGACGCCTTCAAGGCCATCATCTCAGCACGTTTGACCAAATCCTCAAGCACACCCAATTAATTTGCTGCAACGGGGTGGTGCATCCAAGCAACTAAGATTCCAAAGGTGTACCTAATAGGAATGGCCTCCAACCTAATAGGAATGGCCTCCAACTGAATA